GATCCATCGCCGATGAGTGGAAGAAAGCTATATTTCTTTGCAAAGCGTGCCCACTGATTCATAATCCGATCCTCAGTACCAATCATTACAGCAGGTTTCATGACAGTAGCCTGTAGAAGGAATAATATGATAAAATTGTTGATGTTGGAACCATAGATAACATAAAAAATGTGGAAGCCTATGGAAGGCCAAATTTTAATACCAAGTAAAACTTCTCAATTCGGTATAACCCTTTTACTATTTTCACCTTCCCTCAAACTTATCCAGGAAAGAAGTGCCTTTGTAATTTTATCATGCACTTGGGTTCGGTACTATTCAGATTCTTGTTATGATTGCACAACCCGAGTTATGCAGTAGTCTCACGATTTCCTAGAGTTGAAATTTCATACCAAGTTCTAAACTAAGTTTGCATAATGCGAAATTCAACAAATTTTGTGCAATAATAAATACACAACAATTTCAGCTTTTTTTTTTTTATAAGAATTTCAGCACAACAATTTCAGCTAAGTAGTACCAAAAGTTTGGTATTACACATTGGTAAGAGTGAAAATTAACAATTTACTCCAAACAAAGCTTATAGCAAATGAATGAACTTAAAATCTACTTTTGCTTAGGATGACAGGAAAACTTCAAGTAAACCATAGCATAGCATTACAACAAAATATAGAACCAGATTGTGAAATGAGAAAAGCTGTTGAAAATTGTAGCTATAACCTAAAGGAACAGGAGTCAAGTCATCGACTCCATTTTTTTACCTCTATTCTGACACCGAACGCTTGAAACACAACTGTGATCAAAAGTTCTCAAATGTAGAAACAATAATAATACAAACAATGTTACTCGGATTCAGGTGTATGTATCCAACAAGGGTATGGCTAGATTTTTCCAATTTTTTCTATATGTTTGGAGGATCCTTAGAGGTATTTCATGAAAAATGAAGAGTCAGAGCAACATAGACTACAAAATGATATTGTTGTCTGACTAAACAGCATATGGATGCGCCTAAAAACAACCACAATAAAGTCGAAAGCCGCAAAAACGCATTTAGCGCATCATGTCACCTAGGAACAAAATAGTGAATAACTTAGAGAAGTCCCAGAAGTGAGAAAAGAAAGAGCAGCCATGGCAAAAACAGAGAGAGTTAAACACTCCTATAAATCTGTGTCAAAATTAATTCTCTCATTTCACAAAAACCATGCCCTTTTTTTATCTCCTTCCAACCTAATTTTCTTTATATGCAACAGTTTTTTTATCTCCCATTTTTGCATATAGTGTATAACTGTATATTCTATTAGATGACACCGTTGCATCATTATTGATACACATGCTCACTTTGCTTAATATTATAAAAAATTCACGGCACCATCATTGCAATCTCACGTTGTAGAAACTAAAGATTAATTACCTCAGGAAGTTCTTTCAAAATAGCTTCTTCTCCAGCAGCCTTAGCTCTTAGAAATCTTGATGGAGATGACAGAGAAGACCCTAAGCAAGAAACTTGAATAAATCTCATGATACCACCATGTTCTTTGGCAATCTGAAATCAAGGGGAAATTGATACATTAACTGCTTCAAACTCCACAAAAAATAAGCTTAGTTAAATGTAGAACATGATTGATAGCACAAGATGATATGAGCCATATAGTCACAATTCACAAACTATAAACTGTTCCTCAAGTTAAAAACTTGATAAATATGCATCACAAATAATTCCGTTATGAATAACAGCACAAATGACAGAAAAAATAAATGCAATTAAACAACTAGCTGTTTACATCCAAATTTAAAGATTTGTACGATAGAGACCCAAGTAGCATGCATACTTCAGCTTCCCTTTCCTCAAACTTTGTACATGATACATTTTCTTCTACTCCAACCCCTACACCCCGCACACCTTCGTCCAAAAAAGGACTGAGGATAACATTTAACCCATGCACAATAATAGGCCTAAAATCATTCTAATAACATTGTCAAGAGATTAAGGGTTCTAATTTCAATGTGAATGAAAGTTTCAACATACCACTGCCAGTTGTTCTGCCATGAAATGGTTCACTTCCTCAAAGCTATAGTTTCTTGTCTCATACTCTCTTCCTGTCAATATAAGCAATACCAATCATATAAATCCAAGATTTAAATTACTTTCATTGGTACAATCAGAAGAGAGACAATGATTACCAATGAGATTGATAACAACATTAGCCTTTGCCATCACAGCCTTGATTGAATTTTCATCCCTTGGATCGTATTTCATTGGCACAATCTGGGCATGAGAAATATCAAATTATAATTATAATAAAACCGCACAATATGCAATTGAATATGAATTTCAATAAAAATGAAAGGCAATGTCATATGGTACCTGTCCCAAATCTCCCATCAATTTGAGATGACGAGGGTTATCCTCGGAACCTCGGAACGGAACTAACACCTGAGATCCCATTTTAGCTAAGACAAAAAGAAAAAAAAATCAGTGTAGATATTGTAAATAAACCTTCAAGTGAGATTCAAAAGTAAAAACAAACAAACAAAAGAAGCACTCAGTAATAGTAATTAAAACACCAAGTTTAAATTACCAAGCTGTTGCACAAGATAACGGCCAAGGAATCCAGTAGCTCCAAAAACAGTAGCTACAATGCCACTGCAAGAGAAGGCAAAATCATTTCCGGCACTCAAACAGAAAACTTTCAACTAAAAAAATTTAAAATCCCAAGAAATGACCTGACGGATGATCGGCCACCGGTGCCCTTGCGAACGAGGTGGCCAACGCCGTTGTGGGAAGCCAGCGTTGATCCGTATCGCGGACGGTCACCTCCATAATCTGACAAAAATCAATAATAAAAATATTATTAAAAAAAACCCATCAATTCGATGTAATGCTAAACAGCCATTAGAATAGAAGAAAAAAATAAATCGAGAAATTAAAAAGAGGGAATGAAAATGTTACAGAGATCGGAGAGAGGGTAAATAGACTTTATAGAAGAAATTGAAGGTGTTGGCCTCATAGAGTGCTGCCCCAATCGTCTCGTAATCGCCTGCATCTTTTCTCAGCTTAGCTCCTGAGGGAGAGAAAGAGAAGGGAGGTGGTTAGTGTTGTTTTGAGTTGAAGACTGGAGATTTGGATTTTGGGTCTAATTTTATTTCCATATTGGATTGGATTTGAGCTTTGGGTTCATCACTTTCGGTAGACTGGATATGTCGGGCCATGTTTTAGGGTTTAGCCTTAAACACATGGGTAAAGTACACAGATGATTGATAAACTATACTGAAATGATCTTTTTGGTCACTTAATTTTAACAAATTACAAAATTGTCATTAAACTTCCCAAAAAGTTACAAAAAATTCATTAAAATGCATCAAAATATTATAAAATAGTTATTAAACTTATCAAATTATTATAAAATGATCCTTATTCTTATCAAAATTTATCACTATTTTATAATATGTAGTAACTTGTAATAGTTCGATAAATTTAATAATTATTTTATAATTTCTAAAACTTTAATAACCAAAATGATCATTTAATATAATTTAGTGATTATTTGTATAATTTACACTAAACACATTTAAGCCCAAGGTATAGGATATATGTACTCGTTACTTGTTTGATCTGATCATTCTTGAATTGGTTAATGTATAATTTAGCACCTACATTTGATATAGGAATATTCAATCGTTTTAAGTTGAAAATTTGAATCGGTCGAGTTTATAAGTATCATTTTATTATTCAAATCTTATTAATTTTTTTATATCGAGTTGAGTTTATGAAAATTAAGTCGAATTTGATATATTTATTCAAGTTTTTTTCATATTTAAATGTAATTATTTATAATATAATAATACTAATTGGTTCTAATTTAAATAATTATCTCTATCCATATAATATTTTCTACATGTGTAAATTTTGTAATGTTATTTAATAAATTAAATATAATTTAAAATAATATAATACATTTATAGTGTAATTTTTTTATTTTTGATAAATATAATGTTACTTGTTAAAGAAAGAATTTTGAGAATAAAGTATTGATGGGAGGATAATGAGTTAAAGAATTGACAGAAAGAAAGAAATTTACAAATAATTACCATCAAATGATCATTATTGAATAAGATATAAAGTTAATGGTAATTGTTCATAAAGAGAAGCCAAATTTAATGTTAATGAATGAAATCCAAGTTGCTGGCATCAAAGAAATCTTCATTAGCAAGGAAGAAGCAAAACAGAAGTTGAAATTAAAGAGAAGAAACAAAATTTATGTTCTTCAGCCAGAGGCGGGGCTAGAGAGAGCGCAACTTGTACGATCGAACAGGGCCTCATAATAGCAAGGGCCTAAAAAAAATTAGATTTATTACAATAAAAATTTCTTTTTTTTTTAGTCTAACTCCACTTTACGAGAAATGAATTCATCTTCATGATCTCCCTATCCACACCGTTAGAATTTGTGTTAGTAATATCACCAATCTCCCTATATATACTGCATTCAAGCTTTACAATTTTTACTAAGGGCCTCTTTATAAGAATTTAAGGGTCTCTTTTTAAGAATTTACACAGAGCCTCCAATGTCCTAGCCCAACCCTGTCTACAACTTACCATTTTGGCAGTAGAAAGAGTGGGATCTAACTACAAACTCCACAAGTTTCTCCTAACTACATACTAACATTTTCTCTGACCCACTATGTTATTGCACATCTTCAACAAATATGAACCCCACCATTGTTCTTATTCTTTTTTTTCCTTCCATAGACTCTACCCGTCGAGCTTATTTTCAGTTACAAGTTATGTCAGGTTGCTATAACTGTGAATGAACTTTCCAAATCCAATTAGGGGTGAATTTACTCGAAAGTTACCTTGAAGTTGAAATTACTTGAGGTTTTGGTTAAATGGCTCGGTCAGTACATTTGCCGTTGCCCTTCGTTGTTGTGTTAGCCGAGTGCTGCAAGAAAGAAGCAGTGGCAGCTGGTTCACTCTTGGTCCCTTAGCTCCCAATGCCCGACTGGAAGAATTTTGGGCTTGTAATCTGTTTTAGAAATCCGGTATGCCGCTTGATCTAGAGGAATACTCGGTTACTAACTTCAGAAACATTGATGATTTATCCTCCAAGAGATGTGCCGGAGTGTCAAACTCTGCAACTCGACCTGCAAATAAGTTTCCGATTTATTTGGAAAATGTCAAGACTTTCAATGAAAATAATAGTGAAGCATTCCGAATTTAAAAATGAAATTTTGAAGACACATGTTTACGTACCATCACTTAACACCAAAACAAAATCACCGTCGATTATGGTTGGAATACGATGTGCAATAGTGCCAACTGTGCAGTTCATGAACTCTGTTCGGATGATCTTCTGTATGAGATTATCGGTGGCAGTATCAACTGATGCTGTTGCTTCGTCAAGCACGAGTATTCTTGCCTGTTTGAGCAAAGCTCTGCCGAGGGAAACAAGTTGCCGCTGCCCCACACTCCAGTTATCTCCATTTTCTAAAACTGCACATTTTACATCAAAGGAAAAAGGACCTATCAACCACATTCAACTTCAAAGGGCTTTTCTACCTCTTCTTTCTCTATGAATTTTTCTTTTCCAGTTCAGATGTAATGATGCCTAAGAGGGACGGTGCAAACCTGGTGCATCATGCTTTTGGTCTTTCTCACGCACAATATCTCCGAGCTGAGACTTATCAAGAGCCTGTGGAGAAGAAAAATCCAGCGCTTGTCGTTCAAACATGATCTCATTTCAAGACTTAACATATCATTAGCATGGTAAAACTCATAGTATAAGTTATCGGTAACAACTCTTCCAAGGAACTGATAATCTTACTAAAGAACCTGAAATCCTCAATAAAAGAACAACAAACTCGAGAATTATTTGAATTTTCTAGATAGTTTTAATTTCTTAGGAGGTAAGAAACATCATGAATGTGTACTTTATGCTGATGGAATAAACACGGAACTTATGTGAAATTCATGGATTTCCATAACTCTCTATACTTGTATTATTAGGGGGAGAGAGCACGGTGCAAATGAAATTTGTACCTCCCAAATTTCATGATCCGAATGCTCTTCGAGAGGATCAAGATTGTCTCTAATAGTTCCTTCAAATAATGTAGGATCTTGGGGTATGATACCAAGACGTCTACGTAGGTCATGGAGCTCAATTGTGGAAATGTCAATGTTGTCTATAATGATTCTCCCACCAGCTGGCTCAATCAATCGGAATAATGATTGGATCAAAGTAGATTTACCACTTCCAGTACGCCCAACAATTCCTATCTTTTTGCCACCAGGAAATGCACAGGTTACTCCATGAAGCACAACAGGAAGATTTTCAGCATAGCGAACCTTTGAAAGATGGAATATATAAAAGAAAAGGAAATGTCAGCATGCGGTTCCATCCTTTTTCTCTGACATCATTAAAACATAAAATCGTTTTTTTTGGGGGGGGGGGGTTGAAGAAAATGATAAACAGAATCAAAATCTTCCAGGTAAGTCCATTCGGATGCTATAAACTTCTCATACGTTGCACATTTTCCACATGATATTACTAGTAATGTGAAAGATCTTAACGTAGAAACAGTATGGTATATGTGAGTCTCTGATGTTTTATGGAAAAATAAAGTAGTGCACGAACATGGTGTGGGGGAAAAACAACTAGATGATACCTTTAAATCATGCAATTCAATTGCTCCATGTTCCGGCCACATAGACGGAGGGTGGGAGTTTTCAATAACAGAAGGAGCTTCACTTGGAATTTGGCTGTACTGATAAATCCTCTCTATAGAAATTATTTTATTCTCGAGCTTGCAAAAACTAAGTATCCACCGTGGTAATCGTGCATTTAAGTTAAGGCCATATGTCACAGCAAGGCCAGCCATACCTGTTTAGAAGCAAGACTTATCAGTTAAGGTCATATGCAATAACTCGAATGTCTTGCAAACAAGCAGATAAATCAATAATAATGCAAAAGATTAACTTACTCGGAGCAATATTTCCTTGTGGAAAACTCACGAGCAAGATCATGCAAAAAGCAAATACAAAGGTCGAAAGTAATTCCTTCCTCGTGCAGAGCCACTCAATAGCAGCAAGACTGCAAAAGAATGGGCGGGCAAAATAATCAGGAAGATAAAGATTTCTCTTCATGAACCTTTTCTCTTGCCCAAAACCTCTAATCGTGGCCGCTCCAGCAATTGATTCACCAAACATATCAATAACTGGAGATTTCTGCAATGCGGACCAGTTCTCTCGATGAAGCCATGTAGTATTTCTGCAACCAGCAATATGTGTCAGTTCATCAGAAGAAACATGTGTTTCCAGATAAACTACACAACAATAGTTTTTGAAATTGTGAAGTGTATATTGAATTCATCAACAAAAATCGGAAGGGTCTAACGTAGATTAATAAAAACAATGTAGTGGTCTGGGCAGAACTTTTTTCAACTCAAAATGTGTAAAACTATGTTTCGATATAACAAATGAAGGCAAAATGTTTTTGGACTTAATTGAATTTATTCAAAGTTTTCAAAAGGTTTCAAAAATAATTCAAAATCCATTAAATTCGGATTTGAGCAAAAATGCAAAGAAGTACCGATACTGCTTCATGTAGTATCGATGCCACATGAATGGGTACTGATACACATTGTGTAGTATCGATACCCTAGGCAAGTGTAGTATCGATTATCTCGGGGTTGTTCCTGATCTTGTTGAGATTTGCGTTCTGTTAGACGTTATGGAACGTGTTTGTTCCGATCTTGTTGCATGTTTGACCGGCGACGCGTGATGCTTCTGGTCGTTGGATTGGATCAGATCCAACGATTCAGATCCGTTTGCTCAAATGATATCTTAGGGTTTTTCAAACCCTAGTCCCCTGATCTGTTGTGGGTCGTTGGATCAGTTGATCTGATCCATTGGTTGTCATGCTTGCGGCGCTGTGACAAATGTTGAAACCCTAATCCGGGTGGGTTTACCGAGTCAGGCTTGCCTACCCGGTTGGACGACCCACACCCTTGCTGGACCTGAAGTTGGACTTATTGGACCCTGGAACCAAAAATAAAAATAAAATAAAGTTAATAAAATAAAATGAATAAATAAAAAAATAATACTAATGATATAAACTATATAATATATATTTCAAAAATATTTTTAAACTATATATTATATATATTTTAAAAATGTTTTCAACGTTATATATTATATAGTTTTCAAAAATGTTTTAAAACTATATATTATATATGTTCTCAAAAAATGTTTTTAAAACTATATTATATATATATTTTCAAAATGTTTTAAAAACTATATATATATATATATGTTTTCAAAATGTTTTAAAAACCATATATTATATATTTTCAAAATGTTTTTAAAAACTATATATTTTATAGTTTTCAAAATGTTTTTAAAAACTATATAATATATACATTTTCAAAAAAGTGTTTTCAAAGCTATATATATTATATATATTTCAAAAATCATTTGCAAACTATATATATATATATATAATAAAAAAATCGGACGAAAATGAGTGTCTATAGTCCTTAAATTATTTTGAATTTATAAAATGAGCTCTAATTATTATTTTATCTAAAGTTCAAGGATTAAAGTAAAAAATTAAACTTTTTACTAACATGCCACATCATGAAACTAACAAAATTAAACGTTTCAGTGACCACATCTTAATTAAAACAAAATGAAAGTGACTACAAATTATATTTTTTTAATCGAATGACCATACGTTTATAAAAATGAGACAAAAGTGACGAACTCTATAATTTACCCTTTAGTTAAATATATTTACATGAATTTATTGTTGATAATTAATCGTGTAGTAATGAGTTAATGTTGAGTCAATATTCTAATTGATAATTTTCTAACGTTGCAGTAACAATCATGCTAATGAAAGTATCCTTCGACTGACAAAAACCCACCACTTGTCTTGGCAAAACATAGATGGAAAATAAAGTTAGGTTCTAAGGAATAATTTCAACCAGTACACTAAGATTAGCATATATACTTAATTAAAAGTATAAATAAGCCAATGCTAATATCATACTTTTTTATCTTTATTTTGTAAGGGATTTGGCGATGCTGATTCCAGATGGAGGTCTTTCACGAAAGCTGCTCTTAATCTGATGTTGGGGGTAACCTACTATCCTACCTTCCCCTTACCCCATTACATATGAGAAATAAAATCGGCTAAAAAAAATAACTGTTCAACCTACTTCATGGCCCATCCATCCATCTATTTGATATTAATAAATTAAAAATTCTAAACAAATTATGTTATAATTATCTTATATTATTAAAAAAATAAATTTTATTAGATGAGAATATTTGTCCCTTTCCTAAACCATAATTTTAATATTTGGGTCCACCGCCAAACTCTACAGTTGCCCAAAATAGTTCATGGCCTATCCATCCATCCATCTATTTGATATAAATTTTAGATTTAAACATGAAATTAATCCATGAATTTCATTCAAATTTTCATTTTGGCTCTTAATCTTGTTATTAAAAATAATTTATAAAGTTTTAACTTATCATCACTTTTAATCCATTTTATTGAAGAGTTTTAAAAAAAGCAATTGATTCGATTAATTATTGAGTAATATGTGGATATCAAATTGGAAATAAATTATAAATTAAAGATTAAATTGTAATTTGAACTTTAAACTATAACTTATTTCTAATTTGATTTTTTATGTGTCACTCATTAATTGATAAATATATTACATATTTTAATGTAATCAAGAAAATAATAATAATAATAATAATAATAATAATAATAATAATAATAATAATAATAATAGAATGAAGCTTTCAAGGTCACTTTTGATAATAAAAAAAATCAAGGGTTAAAATGAGAGTTTAGATATAGTTTTTAAAGATGAAGCTTTCGATGTCACTTTTTATTCAGAAAAAAATAAATAACTTTTAGTTTTTAAAATTTTAATTAATTTTTAATTTTTTCCATATTTAAACTCAAAACTTTTAGTACATGTAAGATTATGAAATTATATATCGTAAGAGAGTATAAAAAACAAAAAATAAAAATAAACTCAAGACCAAAAGACAAAGTGAAGTGAGACATTATATCGCGCGATGGTATCTATAACTGACGGACAGGATGTGGTTGTTGTTGTCGGTCGTCATATGAACGTTGTAGCATTGAAATCTCAACTATACCCCTAACTTTATTTTCTTTTTTCGCTTTAGGGTATCCAATATAAAGCCATGTCCAATTTCCTAAACTTTTCAGTTCATTTCGTCCCTGCTTCAATTTCAATTTCGCCCAAATTTTCACCCTTAAAGGCAAGAACAGTACCCCAGGTGTTCTTTTAATGAATCCCAAACCATTCTGAATTCTTCATGTTTTCAAGCTCTTCTTTGACTTTTGGTTTCACCTGTCTTGCTTGTTTATTCAGATTGCAAGAAGTCCAGCGATTCCCGTGAATAGAAGAAGGCTGTTCTTACTTTATTTCTTTTGACAAAATAAGACCCTAAAATTTCTCCTTTTTTTATGATGGAGGCGTCTCCTATTAGTTTTGACTTAAGCTCTGACGATGATGAGGCGACGTTAACTTGGGAGGAGCCGAAGGGCGTCGATTACAACTGGTTATCGGAAGTTCTGGAAGTCATTGATAAGGTGTTCGACGATCCCGATGACGTGATGGTGGTCGGGGAAGTCAACCCCACCAAGAAATCAGAATCACCGAATTCAGTGGCCAGGAAGGTTGCTGTTGAGGACGATGGTGATTGTGTCGTTTTGGAAGGTGACCCAGATAAGGCATTGTCCGATGTTACTGATCTCCAAGAAGATTCCGATGAGTGTCTTATTGTCGGGCAAAAAGGGCAGGTAAAGCCTATCTCTTTATTATGTTTTGATTGTGCTTCTGCCTGATTACGCTGACTATTCTTTTTCAATGTTTCGTTGCTGAAATTAGACAAGTGGTTTATATGTTTGTTCCTGCCGTTACTAATTAAATTTGTGATTGTTTTCTTCCAAGGGATGAATAAACCAAAATTATTGATTCTCCTACTTATTTGTAGATTTAACGATGCTGATATCTATATGTGTTTTCAGTAAGAAGGAAGGCTTTGTTTGGTGACTTGGTGTTGAGTTTAGGGTTGGTTTGCTTTTTAAAATTGTTATTTAAATTTCCTGGTAGCATTGCATGTTAAATTGATTAATTTTTGTTGTTGTTGTTATAGTTCTTGATTTTTTGGTATTTTTGTTGCTGTTCTTGATTTTTTTAGTTTGTGTTCTAGCTCTAGCAACTTTGCATGTTCATGTTGTGTGGAGATTTGCTATGCATTTATTTACTCTTTCAAGTTTCAACATGCTAAAACACCTTTATGGGTTAATCAGTGTGTTGTGCTGTATATGCCAACCGGAATGCAGAAGTGAGGCCTTTGAAAAACGTTATCATCTGGTGCTGTTAAAAATGAGCTAGATCACTAATCTATGGGAATCTATGGGGGGGGGGAAACAAGACGTGAAGTTTGGTCGTTTTTCCTGAATGTGAATGTTACAGGGTTGAGTTGCTGGAGGGGAAATGACCGGTTTGAGAACCAAAAAGACCTACCTTTGTTCTCATCTGATCTTAACAGAATGATATTATCTGTTTGATAATTTTGTTGTAGCAGTGTGGACAAAATGGTCCTATCTTGCTGCTGAAATCTCAAAAGATTGAAAGTAGACAAAAGGCTCAGAAATTTTCTATCATGGGTCATCTGGGAGATGAGGTGATCTTAGGGTGCATTTATGTAACATGCTTAATATTATTAATGTTTGACGTACTCTGTTACCTTTTGCTTTATGCATTGAAGACTGTTATCTCCCGCCTCGTAAGCACTCCATTTGTGATAGCTCTCTCATTTCTCTTTGGTATGGTTGCAGATTGCATGCAGAGATTACCCCCATCCACGGCATGATTGTGCTAGGTTCCCTTTCAGTTCAACCTCACATGAACAATATTGTGAATTGGTAAATATCTTAATTTTTTTGAAAAGTGACTTGAAATTTTATTAATTTCTGATGGTTGAATGCTGCACTGTTTCAGAGCCTGATGCTCTTGAGTTTAGCGTGCACATTTCTAATGAATACAATGAATGCCCTTTTGAAATTGCAGTGTCATTGCTTTGTTTGCGACTCGAAAGCACCATGTAGTTATTGGGGTTCGGGTACCTGTAACTCTGATCATTGTCATGCCACTGATAAAGAGGAGAAGTGGAAGAATTTGCGGAAGACTTCCAGGCATGTCTGGAAATTTCCCATAGCAGTTACAAAAGCTCCTGTCGCTTTTCACTCTATGGCAATGCCCCGACTTAACCAAGCTCCATGTGACAATACACAGTTCACACTGCAAAATCAAGTTTCAAGGCTAATTTCAACTCAAGCTGCTTGGAATCGGATACCTCAAACTCACATCCAACAGCCATCATTAATTCGTGCTTGTTCATCTACCAGATATAGGGTTCCATATAACCCTGGTGTGGGTAGCCAACATGTTTTAAATAGGAGGAGAATGCATCCACATCCAGTCTCACATCAGTTACATGAGGTGCATAATACTGTAATTCGAAGGGATCGAGGTACCAGGATTAGCAACCTGGGTCCCCAATTTGTCTCTTCCAAAGCAATGTCTAAAAGGATGGAAGTTGTGTCAACAATGAACCGCACTGCAGATGTTCCATCAGAAAACATTACTTCTGGTATTGCTTCACGGCATCAACAGAATCCCTCTTTTTTTACAGTATCAAATGAAAGGAATTCAAACCCCATTTGCTGGCCAAATCTTTGTTCTGGTTCAACTTTAGGGGCACATACTCACCAGAGCTCTTCACATCCTGGTATGGACAGCGTTATTAACAGTTCAGCACCCTCCCGATCCTCGGCATTCGGTCAGCCTGTTCCTCAGTCAAGCCTGAACCAAGATGCCAGTCACCTTCAGAATCAAAATCAACCGGCAACAAATCTTGTTGTCTCCGATTATGACTTGAACTGGGTCAACAACACCAGTGAATGCAACCAACAACCTTCTGTTGATTGTTCACAGCTTCAAACCTCCACAAACGAGAAAGAAGCATCCAAGGAGGTAAATGAAGGAGATAAATCAGTTTTCGACGAGCTGGAGAGCTTCCTTTTCGATGACCAATCCTTTCCCGAAGAGTCTCTTGCAGAACTTACTTCACTTTCTGCCAATCATATGTCTTATGATACTGGTATGATTTTCTTTGATACCGACATTCGAAAAGTCTTGGGATCGTGCATAACTGATTAGCATAGCCTTGTGCATTCTAGAGAAGTAGACCTGGTCCTCGTGCCACGGACTACAAAATAGAAGAGAGAAATTAGAGATAGGTTGTTGCTTTATAGGATTGATATAGTGACTGTATTATAATAGAAGGCTTTGATGGTGTGCAATTGTACAAAAACGAACAGCAAGTGATTGTACAGAAATGTAAAACAAAATCATGAACGGTGTCTGAAGTTTCAGAATTCAGATCTATAAGGTTTAGATAGTATTTTCTCTTGATGATCTAATTTTATAACTGAAATTTTGTGATTTTAAATTTTTAATATAATTTTTTAAGTTTGTATTCCTAACATAAATTTGTAATATAAATTTTTAGGTTTGTATTTCTAACGTAAAATCATGTCGGACAATTAAGAAATTTAGATGTCTACTTGAGATGAACAACCAAAATTGCATTCACTGCTTTATCTATTAAGCATAAGTCCTGTTTTTTTGAGCTAAGAGTATGAATTTTTCTGATAATAAAATTACGGATACAGTACAGAAATGGTTTCTCGACTATAGGATATTGTTTGGTTGAGTCTCATGATAATTAAAAGTTATAAAATGATCATTCTATTATTCATTATGTTTCAAACTTGTCTTTTTACGTTAAAAAATTATTAGTCATCTAAATTGGACATTAACATACTAAATGAGATATGATAGTCGTTTAAGATTATAAGATTAGATTTGATCATATTTCAGTCAACATGTTAATGTCCGACTCAAACTGTCATTAATTTTTTTAACATAAAAAGACAAGTATGGAACATACTAATCGAGTGATTATTTTTTAATTTTTTATCGTCAAATAACTCAACAAATCAACTTGCATTAATCGATGACCATTTTATAACTTTTAATAGTTGAGGAATTCAACAAAATAATATCTTATAATCATATGATCATTTGTGTATTTTATCCTAAAATTATTAGTCTAAGGTGACATATCTATATAAAATTTAATATTCAAATTATTTTTCTCTCTTCCGATGAAAAGTTCACATTTTTGTGAAGCTTGAAAAGTGTGTAAAAATTTAAAATTCGATGTTATTATCAAACTTCCTCCATGTTAGGAAACTAACAAAATTTTGTTATTTTTGTCTCTAAATCTCTTAGTCTGAAGGAATGGGGAGAGTAATACCTAAAACCTTAAAAACTTGGAATCTAAACTCCTACATCAAGTTAAATCTCTTTTGCATTCTCTCATTTCTCATTTCCACTATCCAATATGACTAGTTTTACCTGCTCTGCTGCCCATCTTCGTCCTCTTCTCGGCACTGCTGCCAATGTCACCGTTGCTGCTAAATGCATAGATGCTGTTTCGAACATGTTGGTTGCCGCGCGCAACGTATGCCATTGATAACACCTACCTTCTTTTCTCAGCATATCTTGTGTTCTCCATGCAGATCGGTTTTGCCATGCTTTGTGTCTGTTCTGTACGTGCCAAGAACACCATGAACATCATGCTTACCAATGTCCTCGATGCTGCCAACGGTGGTTTGTCGTATTACCTCTTCGGCTTTGCTTTGGCCTATGGTTCTCCTTCCAATGGATTCATCGGGAAACACCTTTTTGGGCTAAAAGATTTCCCTTCACCCTCCGGAGACTATAGTTTCTTCTTGTATCAATGGTCTTTTGCCATCGCGGCTGCTGGGGTCACCAGTGGTTCTATTGCAGAGAGGACTCAGTTTGTTGCTTATTTCGTATATTCTTCCTTTTTGACTGGTTTGGTTTACCCCATAGTGTGTCATTGGTTCTGGTCTGCCGATGGTTAGGCGAGTGCTGTTCTAGAAGATAACCTTTTATTTGGATTCGGGGTGCTCCATTTTTCCGGTTCCGGAGTTGTTCACATGGTCGGCGGCATTGCTGGCTTATGGAGTGCCTGGATTGAAGGTCCTCGCATGGGTCGATTCGACAGTGATGGCAAGCCTGTGTCTTTACGTGGACATAGTGGCACATTGGTCGTACTAGGAACATTTTTGTTATGGTTTGGCTGGTACGGTTTCAATCCAGGTTCATTCATCACCGTCTTCAAAACTTACGGCCGAACCGGTTCTTTCTATGGACAATGGAGCACCATCGGAAGAACCGCCGTAACGACGACAATTGTAGGATGTTCGTCCGCTCTAACAACACTCTTCGGTAAACGTTTGCTCACTGGTCATTGGAACGTCTCCGACGTTTGCAACGGTTTGTTCGGCAGTTTCGCTGAGATCACTGGCGGTTGTTCCGTCGTCGATCCGTGGCCAGCTATCATTTGTGGATTCATTTTATCCTGGGTTCTCATCGGATGCAACAAGCTGGCCGAGAAGTTAAAGTACGACGATCCGTTGGAGGCGACGCAACTCCATGGAGGGTGTGGAGCATGGGGGATCATTTTCTCCGGATTGTTTGTAAAGAAAGCTTATGTAAACGAGATATATCCAGGGAAACCCGGGAGACCGCATGGACTGTTCATGGGAGGCGGAGGACGACTGTAGGCCGCTCATTCGATCCAGTGGTGACTGGGTAGGTGAGTGCCACCATGGGGGTATTGTTTTTGGTGCTACATCTGAATTAAGATGTTTAATTTGTTTATTATGTTATGTATGAATAATTAAATATATATAATATATAGTAGATGTTAAAATTAAGATGTTTAATTTGTTTATTATATTATGTATGAATAATTAAATATATATAGAATATAGTAGAAGTATAAAAGATATTGCTTAAAATCACAAAACATAAAATTTAAATGTAAATTTTTTATCAAATTAAATTTTATGTTAAAATACCAAATATTTGAATATCCAAACGAAAAAAATAGATATCCAATTCTTTTATATCAGATTATAATTCTAATTATTCAAATTTTTGAATATTCGAAAATGCACGTCCCGAGCTATCATTGGTATGCTATTTTAAATAAAATTACATATTTGACCATCCTAATAGTTAATTATTCAATTTAAAACTTTTAATACAAATTTTATTAGTTATTTATTTTCAACTCTGTGCAAATCAAAATATCCAGTTTTCATGTGGCGATAAGAAAAGTAGCAGTCGCGATGTGAGCAATAATCTGTCTCCGTCTATTACGGCGGTGACATTGGCAAATGCCTTTTTACCTGTAGCATAAATCCGACGGCTACTGTTGCACCGATTATCAATCATGTTTACCGCAGCCGTCGTTTGAGCTCTCACATTAAAGGAAACCAAAACTCTTTTTCCACGTCCATGGAGGTGACTTGACGCGTTTGAAAGTGAGCTTCTCACAACTGTGTTTTTAAATTGAATTTTAAACTTTAATTCAAATTTTATTTTCATATTTTTACACACAGCATTAATTTTTGATGATATAATAATATAAAGTTATATAAATATATTTTATTTTATTTTATAAAAATCAACACAATATAAAATTAATAATTGGAATTTCAAAAAATATAAAACGATTGTTAATTTTTTAAATGATTTTAAAATAATTATTGTAAATTATTCTTTAAATTTATCATTATTTTGTAACATATATCAATCGCGTTATAATATTTGATAAGTTTAATAATAATTTTGATATAACTTAATAAACAATTTTTAAAACTGAGATGGAGATACAATGTTATGTACATCCTCTGTCTCATTAAATTTATCTATTTTAATTTTTAAAATTATCAAGTTAAAATATCCTATTAAAAATAAATAAAAGATAATATTTATATTTTTTATTTTTCCTTATTTATCTTATTATTTTAAATATATTAAAATAAATATGTCAAATCTATTAATTATTTTTATTAGAATAATTTTATTATTTTTCTTATTTTATATGATTTAACATATAATTAAATTTATCTTCTAAATTTATGTGTTTATTTAATATTGACTTAATATAAAAATAAGTATCAAAACTATATCTAAAGTTAACTTCAAGTGCCTAAAGAATTTTTCGTTAAAAATAAATGTGTAACGTTGAATTCAATGTTACACTTTTAAGTTTTTATGTCGTTAACACTATTAAATTCAATCATTAAGTGACACATGTTATGCATATAAAAATTCAAAAAAATAAATAAATTTTTTAAATTTTGATAAGTTTAACACATGTCAATTAACAATCGAATTTAACGACATGTATATAAAAGTATAATGTTAAAAATGTTAAACATTTATTTTTTAATAAAAAAATTATTGAAACAATTGAAATTAACTTTAGATATAGTTACGTTAAACCTTTAATATAGGAAAAAAATATGGAGTAATAAAAATTCAAATAAATAGAGATGATAACACTGTCCAGCCCTCCTTAACAGCAATTAATGGCTTGATCTTCGGGCGCGTGGACATACACGAGTTTTGGAATAATTCCAATGATGGAGTTTGAAGAGAAGACAATTAAAAAATAATAAAGTACAAAAATAGTTTCTGACTATAGTATTTTATTTGGTTAAGTCACACAATTATTAAAAGTTACAAAATGATCCCTTAACTGTAAGGAGTTACTTTGTTAAATCACTCGACTATTAAAAGTTATAAAATAGTTAATTGACTATTCATTATGTTCTAAGCTCGTTCTTTTACGTTAAAAAATTAAAGACAGTCTAAGTTTGACGTTAACATACTAACTGAGATACGATAAAATTTGATCTCATAATCTTAAACGATTAGTATATCTCAATCAGCATGTCAACGTCAAACTCAGATGATCATTAATTTTGTAAATTTTAATAGTCTGAGTGTGGAACATAATGAATAGTCGGGTTATCATTTTGTAACTTTTAATAGTCGATATACTCAACAAAACAACTCCTATTGTCACAGGATAATTTTATAACTTTTAATAGTTAGAAGAATAAAAAAAGTAGTATCTTATAATTGGGGGACCATTTGTGTACTTTACCCATTAAAAAAATGGACGTGTAAGCGTTGCGGTTTCCACCTGGCGAACTGCGATTGGGCTTTCTTCTAGCTCATTCCTCTTGCCAGCTGTAACACTTTTTGTTTCTTTAGGTTTTGTTGCCCACGAATTTTCCGTGGCTTATCTATCTCGCTTCTAATTAAGCAATTAGTTTACAATTACTTGATTAACCTAAAATAGTTGGAAATAAATAAAATATTGAAAATGTCATAAATGCCCATGAAATGGCATGAAA